ATCCTATACACCTACACTATTCTTCTTTAAAACAGACATTAATAACATATCTGTGGGAAATACAAGGGTAATGAAAATTACAAAGTGGGAAAAGAAGGACCTATTACTTTGTACATGTTATAATATGGTTTATAACTCTATTTCAAAATGTAAATGGTATTTTATGCTTCTTCCTTTGCACAAAACAAATATTGAAAACTACAAAAAACACATACATATGATCATTACTCTTGCTACAGATGAAATAAGGGCAAAGAAAAAGGAGATTGATTCCCCGTGATAGGAAGCAACTAGTTCATAACTAGAGAGTTATGAACACTCTGCTCACAGAAAGAGTGAGTTGGAATTGAAACTGTGAAAGAAACTCAAGGTAGTAGAGAAGAGAAAATGGAACTGGGGCTGTAATGGAATTCTACAAGGAATGTTAATGACTTTAGAACTATCTTTGTAGTGTCTGATGATCATGTAGTGGAAGCTCTGCTTCTTCATAAGGCAGATGAACAAATCACAATCAGAATAATAAATCATATCCCTGCTTGGGGGATCTTGTTACCAGGAAATTGCTATACAGTGCATGAAGTACAGGACAATGTAATTATGATAACTGCTGGGATTATTTGTAGAAGGACTACTAAGAGAATGAAGTCCTTTGGGAAAGGGAAACAATATGAATGCAAGTGTTTGCATTCATAGGGAGACTCCTAGTCTTAATGAGGAGACCTGTAGTAAGGACTATGATCGGAGACAATGGAGTGTGCTTAGGAAATGGAGAATTGGAGGGACCATGGTATCATTTGCTGAGGCCTTGAATTAAAGATTGGCTTAGGCATGCAGCATCCATTTGCGATTACTGTTCTCCAAGAGTCTGAACATTTCTGAAATTCTAGTGTGTTCTTATTTCTTCCTACAGAAGTTGTCTGTATCATTTGAATCATAAGTTACTCTTGGTGAAAACATTTTTTAGATCATTAGTGAATTTCTGCCCACTTAAATCTACTCGCTTAGAAAACTTACACTTCAAGTCTTTATGTATTAATTATTTTGTAGGCATTAGAAAGAAGTTTTTTTCTCATAAATTTGCCTTATTTTAGTTAAAAATATTGTATTTTTACCCATGTTACCAGAATTTCTATTTAATATTTTATAACCTTTGTTTTTGTTGTATTATATTATGTTTATATAAAATGAGAAAATTCATGCAGCTTTTGTATGCAGTTAAAAAACAAAGTTGTTGCCCAACTACATTCTCACCCTCACTATCATCCTTCATCATCCTTGTTTTCTTCTTTTTAGTATATTTTTACAATGACATGCTTTCAACCTAGTGAAGAATTCACTAAAACTCAAGTGTGAGGACAAGGACTACAATCAGCTAATCAGATCTAAAAATCTTTGTTTCACTCATAAGCATTACATTTTTTGCACTCTATATTCATTATGCCGTATCAGGTGACATTGTAGTTTTTTTTGTGTCAGTTTTGTTGTAAAAGCAGATTTACCCACCCTTATGACAGAGTAGTATTCCATTGTGTATACATACTAGGATTTTTTTTTAAGTCCAGTCATCAATTAATGAAAATCTTGCTTGATTATATATCTTAGTCAATGAGATGCTGAGATGCTGAAATCACGGGTTTATAGATAATGCTTTCATGTGCTGATCTCATTTCCTTTGGGTAAATTCTCAAGAGTGAAATGGCTCCTTCATATAGTGTTATAATCATATTAATTCCATTAATTCATGTTTTATATTTGCCCTGGCATTTTATCTAATTAAATAATTCTGAGAAAATAAGTTTGTCTTAATATGCTCTTCGCTTTGAATTATGTGTACAGCAAATGAATATATATTCATATAAATATATGTTCAAAACTGGTGAACATCATAAACTGGAAGACAATATTCTTTATTGTGAAACAACTTCCATTTTTTGATATGTTTGTTATCAATACACAATGTCCTGTAACCTTATGTTTTGTAAGAAGTAAAAAGCAAAAGTTCAGAGATATTTTGCAAAAAAAAATTAGAAATTTCACTGGTCCTCTTTGATGCAGAATTAGGTCTACAATGCAAAGGAAATATGAGCAATGTGGAAATAACACTTGGGCTGGATTGATGTGCCTTTGCTAATGCCTATGTTTAGAGCTCTTGAGACCACCAGAATAATGGACTCTTCATCAAGCAGAAAGCTATTTCAAGTTATTTACAAAATCGAATATGCCATCTCAGGAGTGTCTGAGGAGTGATTTAAAAAAATCATCTCATAATTGAAAACAGCAGAATAATTTCCTCTAATTGTGCTGTATGCTGGAAAATTATGAAATTGCATACTGGGAATTTTTCTTTATTCTTCATTTCATTTTTTTCACTTTTGCTTCCTCTCCCCTGTCTTCTTCAATTAATATTACTGAGTGAAAAATATTATATTGTTTTTGCTAATTGCAATGGTACAGCCAACATGAATGATGAGAAAGGAAAGTTTGCCCTTTGTTTTACTTGGAATATTGTATCAGACACATATACTATCTCTGGCTTTTTTCTGTGACTGGAAAGAACTGTGTACTTGCCAGTGATCACCAGAACTTTTTCATGATGCCTGTGTTGAGAATTGCAGGGATATAGCCCCTTGTACATGGTATAAAGTATCTAAAATTAGCACAGCACACTCCCGAGTCATTTATAGCATCGTTGACAGACAATTTGCAGAGAGACACCAATTGTTCTTAATATTAGAGGGGAATATATATTCTGAATATTTCTCAAACTGAATCCCAGTCCAGGTCAAAAGAAACATGTAGGCTGACTTAGCATTTTGAGATATTTGATCAGCATTGCTGGTAAGATAGCTTATAATTGTTTTTATTCCTGCATCTCTATTTCTGGTTTGTAAATAGGAGAAACACATAAGCATAACTTTAAATGTATCTCTTGACCTACCTATTTTATTTACTGGGGCTGTGATGAAGCCTAGCAAATTCAAGTAATTAAGATTTGTATTGGTATATCCATGATCACAAGATCTGATCATTTACTATATCCATGATCACATACCTTCAGTTTCCTGTTGATGCAGACCTGAGAATACCATGGTGATTGGTTCCTATTACTCAGATAGAAAAGCTGGATTGAGTTCCCACCTTTCCACTTTGCTTCAGCCCAGTCCTGGCTACTACAGCCATTTGCATCTCCATTAAGAAGATGAGAGGTCACGATCTACTTATGTTCAGTATTTTACTTGTCAAGTACATTAAAAAATCATATTGTTTTCCATGATACAGTTATGAAGGCATGGGAATTCACCCTCTTTCCTTCCTGCCTCCCTCCGCACTTCCTCTCCAATTATTCCCTCCACCCCACATTATTACAGCAGTATATTCCTTCAGTAACTGTTACAAGTTCAACATTCTGTTCTCCATTGCATCATGGAATTGCAGGTATAGACAAAGGCAGAAAACTTAGTATCATATTATTTCTGAAAATTGAATTACATTGATGTGACTCAAAGATAATAAAATAATTGATATTGTTTTGTTTTGTTATGCATTTCTTTAATCTCTACTTATCCTATATTTTGCATCTTGCTTATTTCTTTAATTCAAAATGTTTTCATTTTTGGTATATCTCAACAAGTTGTTTTTGTCATAATTTTAAGTACATTTTGAGAGTTGACAAGAGGATGATTCCAATGCTTAATAATTTCCCAAGTTTTAGAGATGTCTCTCTCTTTTACATTTATTTATGAAGAAACAGGAGTTATTTCCTGAAAGATCTTCCACCAACTGGAATGTATATTACAGAGCAACTGGTCTGTTTCAAAACCACGAATCAAGAGTTTCTTCTGGGTCTGCCATTTGTTGCAAAAGCTCAAAAACTTGGGCCACTCTCCACTCCCATCTCAGAAACATTAACAGAAAGATCAATCAGAAGTGAAGCAACCCTATGTGAGCCAGCACTAATGCGAAGATGGCATTCCAAGTTGTGACTTTGTAAAATATTGCACAATGTGTGCTCCACCGTCAATTTAGCTTTTTGTTTTTGTAAATTTGTTTTCTTTCTCTTCCTCATTCTCTTCCTTTCGTTTCCTCTTTCCCTCTCTCTCCCATGTCATCTTAATAAAAGTGGGTGCCTAAACTTTGTCATATTGTTGGTGTGTTAAGATAGGTGAGATATTTACATGCATTGTTTTGCAGTGTTAGGAGAAATCCATGATACCCATATACTTTCAGACAAACTCCTTGGATTGGGTTCACGGAAACTGTAATTAAAAGGTGGGTTCATTTATTTTTAAAAAGCTAAAATAATGCACAGCTTTTCTTCCTTTTATTGTTATTATTATTATTATTATTAGTAGTAGTAGTAGTAATTTTCCATGACATAGTTTTTTCTAAGCATACAGATTTCTCCTTTTCTAGCTTCCTCCCTCATAAAACACATTTTAAGTAATTCTTAGAAAATTATAAGCATGTATTTCAAAAATGTCTGGCACTTATATTTCAAAATCAGCTTATCTTTCAATTTAATTTCCATGACTTTTTGATGTATCCTATCTGATGCATCTGAATGCACACATCTGCTTTTGTCTGATTGTGTGTGTGCATGTTATTACATATAAGCTAGAATATGCATGTATACAATTATTGATGTGTTCATTTGTAAAACTTTGTGCAATGAACATTATATAAGATAAATTTCAAAGCTGGTTAAACAATGCATTTGCATTATTGGCATTATTTTTTTTCCACAATCGAAGTTCCAAAATTATTTTCCTTACCAACAGAATGTAAATCATTTATAACTATATTTCTTTAAACTTGAAGTATTAGATAAAAATCTTTTCTTCAACTTAACATCGCAATGGATGATTGTTGAAATGCTCTAACAAAGCAAGCATTCTCTGTGATTAAACAGGCAATAGTTCATAGTGGCTGTATTCATGTCACATTCAATTTTAACATGATAACTTAATAGTTTTCTTCATGAGAATAAATGGAGAAAATTGTTCCAGATTAGCAGTTTTAATAAAATTCAACAAACAAAAATGTCGGCTGGTTGTTGAAATCATCCTGGTCTCTGCAGGCAGAATTGATTTAGTTCTGGTTAGTGGTGTACTCTGCTCTAATTTACTCTCTATTTCCATGCTTTGGAGTCATTTGCACAGGCAGAAGACAATTACTGCAATTCTAACACAGTGATAATGAAAGTAATGATCCATCCAGGAATACTCCTGAAAGAAAGAGATCCTTCACAAGGAAAGTAATATTGTAAGAGATTGGATATTCGAGGTTTTCCCCTGGAAGGAACCGATGCTGGTGGCTGCTTACTTGAGGACGCGATAACTGAAGAACTCAGAGATGGAGGACTGGACGCTGAAGGTCTCCTTGTAGTGGGAGGTGGTGATTCTTTACGACATGTTGGAGGAGGGGGTTTCCAAGTATTATCTTCAGCACAGGTAATCAACGAGTTGCCATGAAGGTAAAACCCCTGGTTGCATTCAAACGTAACCTGTGCCTTGTAGTAAAATTTTTTCCCAAATCCTGATGTCTGCCTTCCATTTGTCAGTGATGGGAATGGACATTTGACCACTTTACACTGAGGAGGGTCACTACTCCATTTTCCACTGCCAGCACAATGCAGCTGACTCTCTCCAACAAGTGAAAATTCGTCTGGTCCCGATGCTTTATGGCAACGATAAGTTACTACTGAAAGGTACTCAAATACTTCCCTGCCAACTGCACTGTGTGTTCCATTCGCTATGTCTGGCGGTGGTGCACACACAATTTTTTCACAATGTGGAGGACTATCACTCCAATGCACATCTGATCCAGTAAGCTGACAATGCAGAATTCTCGCACCAATTAAATGAAACCCATCATGACACACAAATTCAATCTGGTTACCGAACTCATAGCTTCCATTTATGAGGTTAACTACACCATTTGGAATATCGTCTTGCCTTCTACATGACTTTTTGTAGCAAGTATCTTTTGCGATCTGTGACCATTGCTGGTTCTGTCCACAAGTGACAAATTTGGGCTTAGGAGGTCGATACAGGTATCCCGGATTACAGGTATAATTTACTCGTTCCCCCACATCATAAGAGGGCTTAACGTTACCAGTGGGCTTCATATTTTCAACTCTTGGTGGTTCACCGCAGGTTTCAGAGGATGGCAAGATGACCAGGGTCAGCGGAAGAATGGTGAGAAACCACTGGGAAGCAGCGGGGTTCGGGCTGAGGTGAGCAGACCTGATGTGTGGTCTGGAAGAAGCTGCCATTTTCCTGGAGAAGGGCGGGAACTCTGACAGCCAATCATGCTGCGGCCCACCCTGGTCTGGTGATGAGACGCAACAATCAATCTGCACAGTGGCTAAATGTCGGGGATCAAAGGGCGCGTGGGTGTGGCAAAACGGCCTACTTGGTAGAGATCATATAATGTGCTTTATTAAAACTTCCAGCCAGCTTGTTCTGGGTGTTGAAGCAGAGACGTTAGTACTCACGTTTCCTTACTTGACCTTTTATGCAAAGTAAACCTCTCTGCCACCCAGAACTTTCTGATTTTTCTTTCACTCATGAGTATGGTGTCAACTGAAAAATTCCAGAATACCCAAATCAACTGACAACAATGAGGTAAGCAAAGAAAATGTAATAATCAATATTGTACTAAGTAGTCTTCGTTTGGGGCCAAAGGGTGTACCTCAAGCTGACTGGTTAACTATGCGCCATAACTTAGAGGGAGGTTAGAAAGATGACTTTATTAAAATTTACTTTCTAAAGAACCCCTTTTCAGTTTAACAACTCCCTCCTGCACAGAGGATATGCTTCTTGAAGGTTTTTTCTTTCTTGTGCAGAAGCTTCTTAGGATGACGTTACCTCAACTAAATTCAAAACTTTGTCTCAATGTCAATTCTTACTTTTGTTTCCTGTGCTTTTGGGAGTACTTAAAAAAAAAAAGAAAGAAAAACCTGTTTGCTTAAACCAATGTCAATATGGTATATTTTTTTATGTTGTTTTCATAGTATCTTGTGTAAAACTCTTGCTTTTGTTTTCTACAGTGAGGTAAAAATCCAATTTCATATGTTGACATATAGATAGTGTCCATAAGATCTCTTACCCTGTCTGCATTGTGTATCTTTGGCAACTTTATTAAAGACATACTGACTGTTTGAAGGTCAATAAATTCTGGGATTTCTATTTGGTTACATTGATCAGCAGTTTTGCTAATTTACCGGCATCGTGCCTTTTTGGCTAGTATGTCTTTTATTGTAGTTTGAAATCAGATGGTAGGATGTATTCTACCTACTCAAAGCAGGTTTTGTTGGGATATTTTGTGGCTCCATATGAACTTGGAAAGTATGTTTTTTATTTCTGTGAAAAAATTGCATGGAACTATCTAAGAATCACTTTGTATCTTTAGATTGCTTTAGGCAGTATGTCTATTTGAATCTATGAACATGAAATGTCTTTCCACTTCTGCTTCTATTTCCTTCACTACTCTGCTTTAGTATTTTGCACATATCATTCATGTAATTTGTTAAATTAATTCTTCGTATTTTTATACCATAATAAATGCTATTCTTTTTTATGCTTGTTGATACTGTAAAGAACCACAGCTAATTATGCTAGTTTTTTCTGAATACTGAGACACTACTGAATTAATTTATTGTTTATAGTGGCATTTTTTACACAGTTTATGAAATTTCACTATGCAAGATCATATAATTTGTGAATAACAATATTCACTTCTTGCTTTACAATGTGGATGACTTTTATTTTTTGTTATCTTATTACTCTGGTTCTAATTTCAAATATTGTGTCGCAGAAGTCATGAGAGTCCTTGTCATTTTTCTCATCTTAATGAATGTGTTCACCCTTCATTTGCTGTCAGTTTATTTTATCTGATGCTTATTTGTATTGAATCTTATTTCTTCCATAACTGATTTGTTAAGAGATTGTATTAGGAATGGATATTGAATCACTTATTTTGTACCTATCAAGCGTAAACATGGCTTCAGTATTCTCCTTGTGACTTTGTTGCATCCTTTGCCAATGTCGAAAAATTCTTGCAACTGAAGAACAATTCCTAGATGATCAGGACTGATAATCACTTTGAGGGAGAGGCGATTGTGTCTGGGTATAGTTTTGAGTGATCAGGGATGTTGGCCTTACTTTTCTTCACTTATAATTTTCTTATTGAACTAAAATAATATAGTAATACCAGCCTCTGAAAATGAGTATGAAAATGTTTCTGATGAAATTAAAGAGCTTGCTAAGAGTTATTATTGGTTCTTTACATGTTTAGTTTAATCCAGCTGTGAAGCTGACAGGTCTTGTTAGTTTTTGAAAGACCATTTAAAATCTGATTTGATCTTCTAACTCAAGAAACTTTCCAGTTGTCAATATTCAAATTAGAAAAATTGCATGTATATAGGAATCTATCCATTTCTTTCAGTATCCAAATTTGTATGCAATTTTAGCCATCAGTTTATAAATGTTTTTCTCTCTTCTCACTTTTGTTTGTGTTTGTGTCAATGAATGATATATATGCATTAAAAAGACACAAAAATACGTATGTAAAAGTCCTTACCACAAATGGACGAGTAAGTAAACTCAGACTAATATAATGCTGTTTCCTCTTCAGTTCTTTATTATTGCTGTGCTCCAATTCTGATGTTGTAATCTCCAATTGGCAACATTTACTCTTATGATAGCAGTTTTGGTATATGGATGAGCTAATGAATGATTTCATAAGGTGATTGAAGCAGAAGCTTCTATTTAACTATTGTTTCAGTGAATTTGTGTTGCTGTAATGGAATGCAACACTCTAGATCATTGAAAATAATCAAGTAGCAGACACTAGTCAAAGGAGCTAAGATGCCACTTAGGAAACTCACAAGTAATATCAAAGTGCCTGGCTTGAATCTTGGCTCTGCTCCCGATTCCAGCTTTCTTCTGCTGTATACTCTGAAAAGTAGCAGGTGATAATGGCTCAAGCATTGTGTCCTTGTCACATGTGTGGGACACCTGGGCTGAGTTCTTATCTCTTGTGTCTCAATTGATTCATCCTTGCCTATTTCAGGGAAGGAGTGAACCAGCAGTTGGAGATACTTCACTGTCCATGTCTGTGTCTGTCTATATTTGCCTCCAAGAAAATTAATAAACTAAAGATAAAATAAAGAGAGGTATACTGGCTTATACTCCTAGAAACTGAAATATCTAATGGTGAAGTACAGCATCTGGGAATAATTTTCTGATATGTTATAACATGGGTGAAAATACAATGCGATAGAAGGATAGGGGCCAAGAGGAGACCAAAGGGACCCAAATCCGATTTATCTTAACTTACTCACTCCTGTGATAATGGCATTAATCCATTCATAAGACTGGAGCCGTCATGACCTAATTACCTTCTCAAGTTCTTATCTTTTAATTTTGTAATAGCAGCAATGAAATGTCAATCTAAGCTTGAGAGAGGGTATTTAAACCATAGTTGCCATCTTGTAGATGTTTTCTAATCTCCTTTCCTTTTATTTTCAATTTCTTTTAACATAAGGAGTAAATTTCACTAGCATTATCATATTGCAGAAGTCCACAGAACCATTGATATAATCTATTCTGATATTCATGCTACTTGTATTAAGGCAGTAGAACCTCCAAAACATTGTGTAAGAAGGCTGATGCCTGTTTCCAGTACACTAGAGTCCTTGACTGTTATCACTGTTATCACCGGTGTTATCATCTCTGTCCCTTACTGTCATTTCATGCCTCATGAATATTGTATACGCAAAGTCTCTTGAGTTCTGCTTGGGGATGACCCTTGATCATTTAATTAATTAAAACAGTATCACATTTATGACAAGATGTCTTTTAGTCAAGCCCTGGATACAACTGAATTTTGGAGGAAGCCAAATTAAGCTTAATGCTAGGCCTCTGCTACATTTGTTTTTCCAATGAAATATTCAAAATTCCCTAAATGTTGTAATTAGGAATTCCTAGTTGGAATGAAAGGTAAAGATCCTTTGCCAGGGTCACTTCAGCAGTTCTTCTTGGGCCAGTCTTTCAGATATTGACAGGTTCTGAACATGGCACAGAGGAGAATAAATGGCCAGACAGTACCTACCACTGATGCTTCCTGCAATTTTCAATGGTGATTATTTTTGGAGAGTCCTCGTCTATATCATATAAGCCTCTTCAATTCAGTGTTGAGGCCTCCACTCACCTATGGCGTGGTACTTGGAGGAGCAGCAGGTACACAAGTCACTGTACAAGTCTTCCATTCCATATATATTGGATGCCATAAGGGCTCAGGTTGGGGTTTTCGTCATTTCTTCCCAGTCATCACACATGCTAGCAATGTTAGAGTTTCATGAGTGTTCAGATGTGATGTACTCTAATGGGCATTATGATTGAGCTCTTCTGCTCAGTATTATATTCATCACCTGGTCCAGGGGCCAGGTTGGGTTAGTCCGTAGTGATTACTTTGGGGGATTCTCCATGTAATAATTCACCTAATATTCAGGAAAATCCACAAATGTTCTTCATCTAGCAGGGTGGCATCAGTTTGTTGATGGAAATGTTTTCCTTGTGACATCTCCCAGAGAGTGACATGGTAAGCAATGTTCTTGTTGATTTGTGCCACAGCTTCTTTCACGTGTGATTCTGCCCACGTGGCTGTACTGTCTCCATGGCTGGATACCTGATGGCTGCTTGCCTACAAAAAAGAGGAAGCAATATTGCTCCTTAATGTGAAAGAAAGTTCAAATAATAAGTACCTCATGATTTTCAAACAAATTAGTACTTATTATGGTGCCTTGTTGGCCTTGAACCAAAGCTACACTTTGTCTTTGTATATTTTCAGATTAAATTTTTTTCAAAGGAAGTTCCTCAATTATTCATGCAAGCAGAACATTAAGCATTTATTGTACTGTTTCTCTCGATATGTTTAATCATCCTAAGGCTATAAAATTTAAGTTGCATTTAAATTCTAAATATAGCAATAGCTCTTATTTGTTTTTGTTTCATTACAATTGTAGTATCATTACTCAAGTTCTTGCATTGACTTCTGGAATGAGACTTTAGAATTCCAGGTGAAATAACTGGGAGTCCAATCCCACCAAGGCTGCTTATTCTAACTTGTTTTATTTCAACAAATAAGAGCAGTGTATGCCTCATAAGGTGATGCTAGCACTGACTAACCTAATGAATACAAAGCATTAAGAACAGAAACCAGCATGTGTGTGCATAAATGTTAGCTACTAGCATTATTGCTACTTTTTCC